TTTTTTTTTTTTTTTTTGACATAACAGTATTCTGCATACACTTTTTTCCCTCCAGAGTTCTCCAGTTTCCAGGGGATTTCTTCTTGAAACTTTTCAGTTCCTGGGCCAATCTCATCCCTCCTAGTAGGTTTGGCCTGTTTCATAGAATTAAAAAAATAATTTCCCTGCCACTTTAAATGTTTGGCTAGGCACTTCCATAGAGCAGTTTTCAAAGAAAAAGAAAATCCACTTAATACAAACTAAACTGAACTTTTCTCTCATGATTCAAAAGATATTATTATATGGTACAGGGCTTTGGAAACTCCCAGCTTGTTAAGCTTTCACACTGTTTGGGACCTGGAGAAATGAGCAGTTACCATGTAGCCAGGTCTATAAGAAAGCATTCACAGCCTCCGTGGAAACTGCCCAGTAAACAAAAGCAGTCATCTGTAATAACATGGTTGTAAAAGACCGTATTGATGAGGAACACAAAATTACAAGAATAATTTTTTTAATGCATTTGTGGTCCCAGATAGTTACTCAGAAACCTGATATTCACTTATTTCAATTATTTTTCCCAATTTTACTAAAAAAAAAAAAAAGTTATAATGCAGCAACACGAAGAATCAAAAATTTGGCAACTTAACAAAGCGGTTTCCAACTCCAGATCACTTTTGTGCTCCCCACCTTCCACTTCCCCCAAATAAAAGTAACTGAAATATCACTAGTGGCACAGCACTTAATCACTGTTAGGACACAATTTCTACGGTTAAAGTAATTCAGAGTTCCAACTTATGCCAACTGATAAAACAGACACCCACTCCTTCCTCCACTTATGTTACACTGGGCCTGGATGCCCCAAGTAAGAAGTCACTGGTCATGGCTCCCCCGGTCTGAGGCAGAGGGTGAAGATGGGCCTCTTGGGTAAGCAGCTGGTAGGCCTCATGGACAAGAATATGGCTCCAGGGACTCGTGGGTTAGGAGCTGTGGGGAGGTTGCATCATGTATTGATAGAACTCTCCAGGAAAATTCTTCTCAGGGACCTGGAAAGACTTGTGTCCCATTTTCTCCTCTTTTACCACCTAAAGCACTCTGCTTCTCACAATTCCACTATCACTTGGAGCCTTGGATAGGGTTTCTCTTCTTCCTAAGCCACAGAAGAGTTATACCATAAAAGCTAACCTCTACTTTTCAGTCCCTACAGTGAGCACATGGTTCTTCGAAGATTTTACTGCTGGTAATAAAAAACTAGGAAGCAAAAAATTTCCTCCCTGTGGTATTTCTTCATCTAACTTTCACCTTTTAAGCCTTTGGAACAAAGATTCTCAGACCATGCTCCTAGAACACACTAATCTTCCAGCACCAACATAAATTTACACACACAGATAGAACCTTTAAAAAGCTAATAGACAGAGGCACCTGGATGGCTCAGTTAAGCATCAGACTTTGGCTCAGGTCATGATGTCATGGTTTGTGGGTTCAAGCCCCACACTGGGCTCTGGGTAGACAGCGCAGAGCCTGGAGCCTGCTTCAATTCTGTGTCTCCCTCTTTCTCTGCCCCTCCCCCACTCATGCTCTGTCTCTCTCTCAAAAATAAACGTTAAAAATTAAAAAAAAAAAGCTAATGGATATGATTTTCTCAAACTTAAGTTTTCTTCAATATTTTGTTTACCTTGTCTGTTAGAAAATATTAGCAAATGAACGCCAATAAGAAAACCTGGAAATGAAGATTAAAGTTTATGTATGGTTGCTTCTTGTGATATAAAGATCACAATATGTATAATATAGTCTGATTTTCCCACTAGAAAACCCCTTCTTTGTACGGAATTGGAACAAACTACTCGAGTTATTTCATGGAGTTCCAAAAACAGCACCACAATGTCCAGACACTCTGGCACCTGAACACATCTGAGAATCTCTACCTTAAAAGGAAAGAAACCAAACTGAGAGCCACTCTATTACAATAGATCCTATACTAGATATTTCCACATTTGTCATTGCACAAATTCTAAAAGTCAGTCTTCTTTTTTTTAACTGTTGTTATTTATTTCTGAGAGAGAGAGAGAGAGAGAGAGAGAGAGAGACCGAGCACAAGCCAGGGAGAGGCAGAAAGAGAAAGGGAGACACAGAAGCAAGAAGCAGGCTCCAGGCCCTGAGCTGTCAGCCCAGAGCCCGACGCGGGGCTCGAACTCACGAACTGCAAGATCATGACCTGAGCCAAAGTCAGAAGTCCAACCAATGGAGCTACCCATGTGCTCCTGCAAGTCAGTCTTTATTGAAATATAATGGAATGAAATAAACTGCATCTACATTTAGAGGCAAAGACTCACAGGACTGGTACCAAGGCCTGTGGTAGACAAATGTACTAAGCTCTTTGAAATCTTGCCTTGATTCCTCTGACCTCATTTCCTGCTTCTCTCCTTTCTACTACACTCCAGCCACATCTGCAACTTCCTTTTTGCTCCTCAGACACAACAAAGTCATTTCTACCTCAGGACATTTGCATTTACTATTTCCACTGTCTGAACTGCTCTTCCCTCACATCATGTCTGTCTTCTCCAAATTCAGATTTCAGATTAAATGTCACCTCCTCTGAGAGGCTTTCCCTGCACCTCCAATCTGAAGTGGAACCCCCAAGTCACTATCACCCACCCTGTTTAATCTTCATTGCACTTACCAATAAAATTATTTTATTTATTCAATGATCTCTGTCCTTTCTAGAATGAGTACCATGAAAATGGGGCCCTGTAGCATCTGTTAAACACCTTAAGGTGCTCAACATTTGTTGAATAAAAATATAAATTAACATCTATTAGCCTCTCATTCCTAGTGCTGGAGAAAAACCATTGGGAGTCCACAATCCCATTTCTCCCACCGTGTTTTCACATGACACACCATAGTTTTTGGTGTCATTTATACTCAATAATGAAAACAGCATCCATATATTGAGCACATCTATCAGATACTGTTCTAGATGTTCTTCTAGTCTAGGCCATCACTTTTCTTCCTCACACAACTGCAAGCTAAGTGTCTGCAACACCCCTTTCCAGATGAGGAGACAGGTTTAGAGGACTAAGACTTGCTCAAGGTCCATACAGTGAAGAAGATTCCAAGTTCTTTATACTAATTGTGGCTGCCCCCAGACCTACATGTAAATCAATTAAGTTTATTATGTAGCCCCGATTCCATAAACCAGAGAGTGATTAGAAGTACCAAAAATGTTCCAACCTTGAAAAGGACTGGAGGGTAAATGGTATTGTCACAAACTGAACCTACTTTCAGATTCGTGTCCTCTCGCTCCTACCTTCATTCATATCTTTACAAGATATATAGTTATCTATGCCTCCCTCATGTTCTCTTTTCTCCTTATACTAAAGAAATACAGATTTATAGATACTAGCAGTCTGTTGTGCAAGAATAAAATTCAACTCAAAATATAAAAACATTTAAAAAAACCCTCAAATGTATAAACATCTTATTATTTGCATGGCAGTGAGGACTGCAGTTGGCCAAGAAGGGCTGACCTCTGCTGGCAAATGGACTTACAGAAGCAAGGGTGTTTTCTCTTTCTAAGATATTCACGGACATCATAATAGCTAAATTAAGAAGGGGCAATGGAGTGAAGCTAATTTCTTATAGTTCATAAAAAGGTTCCTTCCCTGCTTCTGTTAAGTATTTTACCTTTGGGAAACAAGGGTTTAAAAAAAATCCACTGGTTACTTAAATTTTCCTTGCTAGGGAAAAAAAAAAACCAAAAAACAAAAAAAAACACAGCTAAAAAGATTTATTTTGCAAAATTTATTCCAAAAAGAAAATTGGTTTATATTAATAACTTTTGCTGTAGGACCCTGAAAATGACCATGACTTAGCTGTTGGTTCTCTTTGCTACAGTAAGTTAACATGATTAAGGAAGCCCATGATGGATAAGTCCCATGAGAGCTATTTTTGTTCCATCTGTGGGTGGGTCTAGTACAGCTTGTCAGTATTTCCTCCTCCACATCCTAGCACTACTTTAATTAACATTAAAAGAGTTAGTGAACCACATGGTAACAAGCAGTGAACTCAGTGGCACAGGGGCTAAAAAAGCAGAACTTTATTCACTTACTAAATTTTAAAGTATAAACATCCACAACTATGATTCCAGTTTTCAGGGCCGCCCCAGTCCTCTGTGCCAATTAGAGGAAAGTTGTCCTTTATAGGCTGAGGAAGTCTCACATTCATAAAGTTTGATGAGAAAGAGACAGATTTCAGTTTCCACTTGAACCCTGCAACCCCTTGTGTGGTGTAGCAAACTGCTCAACTATACATGAAGGCCCTCATTCCCTAGCTATCCTTAGTAACAAGATAAGGCAAACATTAACAAAGACCTGTTTGCTTCCTTCACATTTTTACCTTGGATACATGGGCTTTGGAACACATAACTTGAGGTGGTTCCACACTGAAGAATCAAGTATTTCAGAAATTCATCTAGCCCCATGGTAGTCAACACTGGTACTTGTTAGAATCACCTGGTTGAAGTTTAAAAAATACTGATATCTAGGCCTCACTCTACTCTAAATGAAGAGTCGCACTCCATCAGAATTTCTTAAGGTGGGACCAAGGCATGAATGTTTTAAAACACACACACACACACACACACACACACACACACACAATCTATGACAACAGCAACAGAACGTACTCAGCTGATCCTGATGCACAGTAAGAGTTGAGACCCATTGAGCCTATATTTAACCTGTATTCTTTTCCACTGCACCATAACAGCCAAACACAATCTAAGTTCTTAAATGTGTTTTTGCATTTGTTTTATCCTTTCTCTAGACAAGAGGCTTTTTAGAAGAAGGGACTCATTCTTCAAGTACTTCTGGTCCTTCTTTAGCACGGTATCCTGAAATAGGTTGTCAACAGAGACAAAGAGCATTATTTCACTCTGTGGAACAAGTGTGTTCCTAAGTGTATACAAATTATGCCTTATTTTAAAAAGTTAGAGTCTGGGGGCGCCTGGGTGGCGCAGTCGGTTAAGCGTCCGACTTCAGCCAGGTCACGATCTCGCGGTCCGGGAGTTCGAGCCCCGCGTCAGGCTCTGGGCTGATGGCTCGGAGCCTGGAGCCTGTTTCAGATTCTGTGTCTCCCTCTCTCTCTGCCCCTCCCCCATTCATGCTCTGTCTCTCCCTGTCCCAAAAATAAATAAACGTTGAAAAAAAAAAATTTTTTTTAAATAAATAAATAAATAAATAAAAAATAAATAAAAAGTTAGAGTCTGTAAATGTTCTCTGGTTAAATTCGATGGTATTTGGTATTTGTTCCTAATACTTCACCTGCTTTTGTCTGCTATTCCAATGTTTCCATTTGTTCAAACCCTGACCCCAGTTGATTAATGATCAATAAACTGATATTTAAATTTTCCAAGTTACATCCTTTTACAGACTATACATTCACTCATCCTTTTAACAAGTAATTTATTGAGTGGTTGAACTTTACAAACCACAGTGATGAAAAGACACTGTCCTTACTCTCCAGGAGTTTACAATCTAATTAGAGATTAGACAGAATTACATTATTTCTGGAGCAGATAAGAACCAGCATAATGCAAAGTAAAGAGTTTACTTTGTGTGGGGATCAGGAAGGCATTTCCTAAATCAAATAATCTGAACTGGACCCTAAAATAGCAACAGGTGCCTGGGGGCTAAGTGGCGAACAACATAAGCAAGGCAAGGTAGAAAAGGGTAAGTCATGTGTAGGAACTCTGAGTACCTGGCTAGAAAAGACAAACTGAGGTGCCTGGGTGGCTCAAGTGTCTGACTCTTGATTTCAGCTCAGGTCATGATCTCACAATCTGTGAGCTCTTTGCTAACAGTGCCAAACCTACCTGGGATTTTCTCTCTCTTCCCTGCTCTCTCTCAAAACAAGTAAACTAAAAAAGAAGAGACAAACTGAACAAGAAACCTGGCACTCATTGAAATTTAAAGTGAGACGGGATCGATCTTATATTCCTTCTAATCCAAGCTTGCCTATCCAAATTGTATTCATTCTTTATCTACCACAGTTTTGTTTTGTTTTGTTTTTTAATGTTTTGGTTTATTTTTGAGAGAGAGAGCATGGAGAAGCAGAGAGGGGGACAGAGGATCCCAGGCGGGCTCTGTGCTGACAGCAGGAGGAACCCTGAGATCATGACCTGAGCCAAAGTCCAACTCTCATTGTACTGGGACACCCAGGCACCCCAACCTTTATCTACCAGTTTAAAGCCAATCTTCTCCATGCAGATTCTCTCCATAGTTTTTAATCCCTGGAGCTCTCAACCTTCCCTGTAGTCTATTACAACCCTAATACTTGATTATGACTGATCACCTGAGATCAATGCATTTTTAAAACTGTAAACAAGTACAAGAATATTAGTTACCATCATTATTCTCGAATTCTTTCACTAATGATCTTCACAAAACTTGTAAACTTGCTCTTGCCACATCCAGTTAAAAGTCCTTCAGAGATGTCCCATTTAAAAAAGCGTAACTCCTTTAAACAACTTAAAGACCTTGCAAAGTTTGGTCCCTGCTTACCACTCCCATCGCTGAGGTTCCGCATACCCTGTTTCCTCTGGAAACCTCCTCTATTCCTAGTTTGGCCTAGTTAGCATCTACTCTCCCAAATCTGTTTTTACTCTCATAGAACCGTGTTCCTTTATGTTAGAGAATTCATCTGCTTGTATTTATGCATCGTCTGTTTGATCATTTAACTGATTCTCTCTCCCACTAGAAAATAAACTCCGTGAAACCAGGGTCATTGTCATTCACATGCCGGGGAATATCAGACAATCAATTGATACTCGCTGAAGAATAAATGTTTCGGCTGTCTCCTCCAATTACAATGCAGGCATCACGGTACCAGCTTTGTCTCTGCTTATAAGAAAAAGCGTTTTACTAACAGGGCCTATTAAAAAGACTCCACAAACAACTGCGCACTGCCTAGAAGGGCCTCGAATTTAGATACGAAATCTTAATGTCACTTCCCAGGGACCCCGCTCTGGACTGCGAGGGTGACTGCAGGAAGGGGCCAGCAGGGCGCGGATGAACTGGCCAGCCGAGAATTCAGGACTCGAACCAAAGCATTTTACGTCGGAAGTATTCCTCAATCTGCGATCATCTTCGTTGGTTCCGCGCAGCTCGAGCTGTGCTTTTGGGGGACGCTGGACGGAGGCTTGGGCAAAAAGAAATGCAGACTCCCCCCAACCCCAGATCCGCACTCGACCCCTCACCAACGGTAGTCCCAGATCCTGGAACTGGGCAGTCCCGCTTGGCACCCACCTCCCGAAGCAGCTTTAGGTCCCCGTGCTGGATCTCATACAGTTGAATGACGCCGGTGCCCCGTGCGAAGTTGCCCATGGTCACAAATTTGGCGCTGCAGGGCACCCACTTACAGTCAAACACCGTGTAGTTGAGGCCCTTCTGAATATGGGAGATGATCTGAGGCTTCTCGAAGGCCGACATGGTCCAGCCAACTTCCCCCCGCCCAACCAGTACACCCAGACCCTGACAAAACACAAACCGGGAAACCAGACTCCAAACATTAACGCTTTTCGCCCTCCCGCTTGCCGTAGTAGCCCCAAAACCAAGGCGAGTTGGATTTAGTTGTCTCGGATAATGCCCGATGCGCCACTGAAGTGAAGCAAGATTTTTCTTCACTGACAGCACAAACTTGTTTATCATCTTTACCTACTGCCTTTCGCACATACACATATTGGAGATTGCAAATGCGTCGGCTGGGAATGGCGGGGCCAGAGGGCACGACAGGAATCAGGCATATTTTAGGATATTCCCCCTTCCGGTCCAAAAAACGCACAAAATCCCGCTCCAGGGCCCCTACGTGGGACTTCTTAGGAAAGTGGGCGGAGCCCTGGGGCTGGTTGGCGGACGCTGGACCCTGCGAGGTGCGCCTGCGCATTGCAGCGGTGCTCGCGTTCTGGCCGGAAGCACATGTTGGGGCTGGAGATTCCTGGGGATGGAAACGGAGATGGAGGCACAGAGCGCGGGGGCCGAGGACGGCTTCACCCAAGTCACCCGCAAGGGTGGCCGGCGGGCGAAGAAACGGCAGGCTGAGCAGCTGTCCGCGGCGGGGGAGGGCGGGGACGCGGCCCGCATGGACACAGAGGAGGCCCGGCCCGCGAAGAGACCCGTTTTCCCGCCCCTCGCTGGGGATGGATTCCTGGTACTAGCGGGGACCGTGGGTGAGGAACGAGGCCGGGGCCAAAGTTGGACCAAGCCGGTGGCCTCTGGGTGATGTTAAAACTGCTGGGGCTCTTCCGTAGTGGGGTTCTTAGAGAAACGACTCTCCTGAACGAAGTTTAATTCGTTCAATTAAATCTTTTTGGGGAAGAGCTGTCATTTTGCAATGCCCATCTCCATCCTTCGAGACATCTCCCGAGTTGTGTGTTCTTTTATTGTAGAGTGGGAAAGAAGAAACAAGGAAAATTCCGGTCCCAGCTAACAGATACACGCCATTAAAAGAAAACTGGATGAAGATATTTACTCCTGTTGTAGAATATTTGGGACTTCAGATACGCTTTAACTTGAAATCGAGGAATGTAGAGATCAGGGTAAGGAGAATGTCAACCAATTCCAAATATGTTAGGGCTTCTCTCTCCTTCAGGGATGAAAAGGAGTGAATAGGCTTTCCTTAGTGGGAGTTGTTTTGTTAAACGGTCGTCATGCAGTTTTCTAAAATAGTACAGTGAGCTGGAACTTCTTGAATGTCTTTGAAGTTTGCATTCAACATGTATATTAGTTGAATTCATAAAGTGGGCCTAAGGTCAGACCAAAATACTGGCCATGCCTGTACATGTATTTTATGACGTGTTCTGTGTTGAAATGAGAGAAGGTGGAGTAAAGAGGTTGTCATAAACAGAAGTATGTAAATAAGGAACAAAAGTACATACTTGTACACACACACATATATTCATTTCATGGTGTCAGTTTGAAAGTTAATATTAATTGACTTTGGTCTTCTTTTCCTGGGTGCCAGTTTCGTATTAGAATCAATAACCAAAATTAATTCTATCTTCTGTTTTGAGGGTTCTTGTACCGTCATCAGGACTGGTATAGACTCGTGTTGAGCTAGAATAATGCAGTAAAGCAGATGCACAGCTCTGAAGAGTTGGTAAAGTTTAAAATCTAGAACTTGGCGGTAGAACTCCTCTTTGTTCTCATTGTCACTTTCATGCAGGTTTTTGTAGCTTTGTGTGAGAACACCTTGTTTCCTTAAGGGTTTCCCTTGCTTCGTTGCTTTAGATCTCCTTTCACCACCCCTTCCTGTGTGCCAGTGCCCGGACCACACTGCTTTTACTATGATATCCTAGTGTCTTCAAAATCTCTGAAGGGCAAAAGCTGTTTTTTGACCTAACCTGCCTTTTAAGTAGGAATTTAAGTCCTAACTCATCTCACCATCTCTTTGAACATATTTATGTCCATACTATTGGGGGCTTTGCTCTCTGAAGAAGGCCCTCTCCTCTGTACTCTTTTTTTCCTGCCTCAATGCCAGTCATCTTTCAGAATCCAGCTCAAGAGCTTTCTCCTTTAGGATTGGCCTGTGTTGCAGTCGTCTCTTCAGAGCCTACACTCTTGCTGTGCTTGGCTGTCACATGTCCCAGCAGCATTAGTTTGGATTCCACTCACACTTGTTGGTCCTGCCGGAGGCCATAAACGTAGTGGTGCTTTAGCACGCACCACATCATATTAACCTTTAGGACAGCCCTGTGAAGTACTTAACAAATCCCCATCATTTAGATACGAGGAAACTGAGGGTCAAAGGAGTATGTTAGTTGGGGCCCCTGGGTGGCTTAGTTGGTTAAAGCATCTGACTTCAGCCCAGGTCATCATCTCAGGGCTCATGGGTTTGACCCCTGTTAGTTCTGTGCTAACAGCACAGAGCCCGCTTCGGATCCTCTGTCTCCCTGTCTCTCTGCCCCTCCCCTACTCACACTCTCTCTCTCTCAAAAATAAACAAACATTAAAAAAAAGAGTATGTTAGTCAAAGTTCATTCACTAATAAGTGAATCTTGATGGGGGGGGGAGGGCTTTCAGGACCTCCCACTCTGACCTTTTTATTTTACAAATGAGAAAACTTAAGACCTGCAGCAAGAAGGGGACTTGCCCAAGGTCACATACAGGATTGGAACTGGGGTCTGATTTTATTTTATTTATTTTTTTTTTTTAATTTTTTTTTTTTTTCAACGTTTATTTATTTTTGGGACAGAGAGAGACAGCATGAACGGGGGAGGGGCAGAGAGAGAGGGAGACACAGAATCAGAAACAGGCTCCAGGCTCTGAGCCATCAGCCCAGAGCCCGACGCGGGGTCGAACTCACGGACCGCGAGATCGTGACCTGGCTGAAGTCGGACGCTTAACCGACTGCACCACCCAGGCGCCCCGGAACTGGGGTCTGATTTTAAATGTGCCATTACACAACCTTGTAGAGTTTTAAATTTGTCAAATATGTGGTCTCAACTAAATTGTGAGTCTGTGTGGGAGAATAGAAGTGACAATTTTGGAATCAGACCTGTATTGGAATTCTACCTTTTTCACATTTTAGTACTTTAGTTTTCTCAAATGTAAAGGTTTTTCTATTAATACTCAAGGTTGACATGAAGGTTAGAGCTGCTGTATGTAAAGCACCTTTGCAATGCATGTCATTTTCAGTGGTAGGAATTTTATGAATAGCAGCTATTTCTGCAATTATCCAGTAAAGCCTTTGAGGAAAAGATCCCTGCTTAAATCATTTTTGGTAGTTAGTACTGGAGTTAGTGCTTTGAGAAACATCAGTATATGATGACAGTTGAAGTCAGGAGATTAGATCAGAACTCCCAGGAAGACTGCATGCATTGAGGAAGAAGAGGACCGGCCTGGGCATTGACGGGATAGACCAGGGTCAGAGGTCCCTCAGCGTGTGGGCGTCTGGGCTGTGCCAGAGGGAATCTTGCAGTTTACCCCAGAGTGAGATCGCTCATGGAGTGTAGTCATTTGGCAGGATGGAACTACCCAGCTGTAAAGCTGGGAGCATTTTGTTTTGCAAGTTATTATTTTTTAATTTAAATTTTAGTTAACATACAGAGTAATATTGGTTTCAGGAGTAGAATTCTGTGATTCATCACTTTCATACAATACCTAGTACTCATCATAACAAGTACCCTCCTTAATGCCTATCACCTATCTATCCCATCTCCCACCCACCTCCCTCCATCAACCCTCAGGCAGCTTATTCTCTATTATTTATTAAGAGTTTCTTGTGGTTTGTTTCCTTCTCTTCTCTCCTCCCCTTCCCATATGTTCATCTGTTTTGTCTCTTAAATTCTACATATGAATGAAATCATGGTATTTTGCCTTTCCCTGATTGACTTTTCTCACTTAACATAATAGATTCTAGCTCCGTCTGCATTGTTGCAAATAGCAAGATTTCATTATTTCTGATGGCTGAGTAATGTTCCATCCCATTCATTTTATTTATTTATTTATTTTGAGAGAGGGAGCACGCGTGTGAGTGGGACAGGGGCAAAGACAGAGAAAATCCCAAGTAGGCTCCACGCTGTTAGCACAGAACCCCACATGGGGCTAGATGTCATGAACTGTGAGATCATGACTGGAGCTAAAATCAAGAGTCAGACGTTTTAACCTACTGAGCCACCCAGGCACCCCTCTTCCATTGTATATATATACCACATCTTCTTATCCACTTATCAGTCGATGAACCTTTGGGCTCTCTCCGTAGTTTGGCTATTATTGATATTGCTGCTGTAAACATTGGGGTGCATGTACACCTTCAAATATGTATTTTTGTATCCTTTGAGTAAATACCTAATAGTACACTTGCTGGATCATAAGGTAGTTCTATTTTTAGGGGTTTTTTTTTTGTTTTTTTGTTTTTTTTATGTTTGTTTATTGTTGAGAGAGAGAGAGAGAGAGACAGAGTGTGAGTGGGGGAGGGGCAGAGAGAGAGGGAGACACAGAATCCGAAGCAGGCTCCAGGCTGTCAGCACAGAGCCCGACGCAGGGCTCGAACTCATGAACTGTGAGATCATGACCTATGCTGAAGTCAGACGCTTAACTGACTGAGCCACCCAGGCGCCCCTATTTTTAGTTTTTTGAGGAATCTCCATACTGTTCTCCAGAGTGGCTGTACCAGTTTGATTCCCACCAGGAGTGCTAGAGGGTTCCCCTTTCTCTGTATCCTCACCAACACCTGTTGTTTCTTATTGTTTATATTAGTCATTCTGACAGGTGTGAGGTTGTATCTCATCATGGTTTTGATTTGTATTTCCCTGATGATGGGTGATGTTGAACATCTTTTCATGTATCTTGTCAGCCACGTGGATGTCTTCTTTGAAAAAGTGTCTATTCATGTCTTCTGCCCATTTCTTAACTGGGTTGTTTGTTTCTTGGATGTTAAGTTTGATAAGTTCTTTATAGATTTTGGGTAAATTAAGTGTAGTGCTGATTAT